AATTTTTATGATTGTTGAAACGATGACTGATTAGAACAGAAAAACGTAATTTGCTGAGCCATTTATAGGCTGTATCTTTTGAATCATGGATTTTTAGATTGGGAGATGAATGTAGGGTCAACAACAACAATTTCGACACCTATTACTCTTTGCTTTTAATCGAGGCCAAAAAATTAGTGCAACTGTTCATACCGCTTCCACTCATAGAAAGGAAACCAATTTCTGCACTACTACGAAAGATTGGTTCAGTAGGTTCAACTTTGCCTTACGCTTCACTTAAAGGTATCTATCGATGATGAAAAACATCTGCAGGTACTTTAACCCTTACTGTAATATCCAGCAATATACGTACATATTCTTTGCTTCAAGGAAATTTCATTCTTTTCAACCACCATCTCAGAATGCAAGATGTAGCCCTCAAAAGAAGTGTCACTGGATATTAATCGACTTTATGACATCGCATCGAATCTCATGCAATGGTATGGCCTAATTTCTAGAAAATCGGGTATAGCAGAGATATACTGTACTTTACTTAGCTTATCATTAGCGTCTGAAATTGAACTGCTCGTCAAACATTTTCAAAAAACTGCAATAAAATTTTCGGAAAAAAACTGGCGCAAATCGCTGTTCTTTATCGTCAAGCGTATTCAAAAGACTAGAAATTATGAGTGTGCTTTGTAGAGCAAAAGAAGGCTTTTCAGAGTATACATCTCATCTGGCATATAATGTCAAAAAGTGCTGGAAAAAAGCATGCAGAAAAATTCACGAAAACTTGTTAACGACCCAGTTTATTCTCTTAACTTCAAATCCTTTCGACCTTTATATTAGATTTGATAAACTCTAATTTTAATCTAAGAACCTTGGACACCATGACAGCATACTCAGGGCGAGTACAATTGAAAGAGTTGACTTCTTCCCATTTTCCATCCGTTCCACAGCCTCTTGTAGCTAATCCACTTTGCGCTGTCGGACAAGTCTGCCTGGCAATCATACCTGAAAGCTAGCATGTACTAGTAATTGCTCTGAAAGCGAGGAGAGCTGCCCACCTTTTGCAGTCGTAGGCCACTGTATTCCATATTCAATCTGTGATGGGCAATGATTACGAACAGGCAGGCATTTGAGCGACTTTGGATCAAGAACCTAAGCGATAGATTTCCAAGAATACAAAAGTCAACATGCTGTCAGTTTGCTCGTTCATTTAATATGATCAATCATGAGTTCATGTATCATTGAATGTCAATGAAAGTTTCGCTCACTACCATAATTTGTGGAATTCGCTTATTGATCCGTATTGCACATTCATTTACTTAATTTTTATTATATACCCATCATTATTATCCACCTGGGGTGCTAGTTCTCACCGAAACTTGGAATTAACAATCGTCATTGACTCGCAGTCAACTCCCAGTTTCATATGCGGACCTAACTGCGGGTTAACTGCCAGTTATAAAAAGAAATGATGATTGCAAATTCATTTGACCCCAGCAAGATTGAACACGCGATGGTTAATCTCTTACGCTGTTGCCTATACCATTGGACTAGAAATCATTATTGCTCGACCTTCTAAAGCTTTACTGTGAGAGATTCTATGGGATGATATTTTAATTCTTGTTACGTTGTGTGATAACTTGATGTATGTTATGCTTTAATGGGCATTGATGTCAATCCCCACATTGGTTGAAACTGGGAGCTGCAGTTCACCGCCAAGTTAGCTGGCAGACAAGAAATGAAATGAAGCTGCGGGTTAACTTCGATTACAACGAAGGGTGGGATAGTGCTGTTAGAATTAGAGACACTGGTGTAACAGTGCTCATTTCATAAAAAAGTACTCCACAGGACTTTTTAATGTTATGAACAATATTATACCTGTGTCTCTAACTCTTACAATGCCATCTCGCCTTATCATAAAAGTCGTAGTTAACTCACAATTCCATTTCATCCATTAACTGCGTAACTTGGAGGTTAACTACGAGTTACTCCGAGTTTGCTCGAAGTTAAACCAATTATATTTGTGGGTTTCAAAATTTTTTGATACTCTTCGTTAAAGTTTAAGATTTTATCGGTGTCTTCTCCTTTACCAAAATTCCCTGGGTCTTCCGTTATATTTTACATGTTAATGCGAGCTTGAAGCGCAGTTAACTCTCAGTTTATCAAATTCCACCGCTGGCCTCTAAAAGGTTCAACAATCATCACAACTTACGTGGTGATCTAGTTTACATCTGTCACATCTTCTACCACTAGCTTGGCCGCTGCACTGGCATTGACCATCAACAGAGCACTGGAGGGAGGTAGCACCGTAGCCACACTCACAGCCAACACATCTTCCTCTTAGAGGAAATTGGAATTTCTAAAAACATTTTTTTGGTGTTAAATGGATCACACTTCGCAAGGTTGCACTTACAGGGCATTTGCACTCTCCATTGTTCCTGTCACACTGCATTTCGAACCCCTCAGCACATAAGCATCTTTTGCAATGTGGAAATTTTCCCCAATAGCCATGTGGACATGCTTGAACGGCAGACAACCTTTCACAATTTACACCCGCGAATCCTGAAAAACAGTATTCTTTTAATAGGCATTGGTGTGAAGGTCTTCTAATAATTGACCAGTTTGACATTGACACTCATATCCTCGTGTGCTGTTCGTTGTAAGGCAAAATCCATTAGAAGCGCAGATACCTGGTAGAGAACACACGGGAAGACAAGTGTCGCCGGCATAACCTGAAAATTTGGTAATTCGAAAATGTTCTACGTTCATGGTTATATGGTGACACGATGATGAAAATAATTTTGCAGCGAGTTTTCTAGTAGCATAAGTCACGGCACAATGGAAATGTGAAATTACTGTTACATCAAATGTAGAATTTTTTTTTGGAGAAAATGAGATGTTTTTGAACATTCCTGGTTTGGGATGAACAAATCCTGTTCTTTAGAATGAATTTAAAAAATCTTATTATCATGGTCAATATAGGTTTGAACTCTTTAAATCCTTAACAAGATCTTCTTCCCTCTACATTTAAGCATTCTATGCAAGAACTGTCTATTAATCTGTAGTTAGAAGAAGCTGTGAGTTGGCAGACTCTCTCTCTCTCTCTCTCTCTCTCTCTCTCTCTCTCTCTCTCTCTCACTCTATTAGCTAGGTCA